ATCGATGGCTCATCATCCAGCCATTTCCCTCCTCCAAATACACAAATGAATAAAGAAAGGGTCTGGGCTTGCAGACAACAGAAAGGACACCCAAGGCAAAGTTGCCTCCGGCTGGGAAAAAGTCACCTCCCCAGAACGATGCCCACATCGGCTCTGCTGCCCGAGGTGGGAGATACTGGAGGTAAGTCCCAGACTCAGCCAAGAGGGCTGCAGCCCACAAGTCCCCCCGCATGAGATTAAGGCAGGTAAGCAGGAGCTCCAGCTGTCTAAGGCAGACCCTTGCTCTCAGTGGCTCTCGGTGGTGTGCTTGATTCCCAGCCCAAATTGAGTGCCCCAGCGGCCCCATTTTATTAAGCATGCCCAAGTGGCAGGAGGCTTTGGTAGGAGAATGAGGCGCTTTCCCGCTCATGCTGGCTTCTGGGCCAAGCCCCTTGGCCGCACTTCACAGGCCCCCAGCACAGCCCCCTCGGCGAAACCATTGCGAATCCACTTGTTGACGGTGGCCTGGTTGTAGGATTTAATGGTGGAATAATATTTACACAGCAAACTCCTCCAGTGGTGTCCTAAACACCGTAAACAGGATTTTTGGAGCTTAATGAGAGTTAGTGGACTCAAGACAGGATAATGTGGCAACTGGCGGCCCTAATCTGATCTGACACCTACTGCGCAGTTAAGACTTAGTGGGCGGAACTGTTTTCAGAGTTGGCAAAAGTTGCTTCTGACTCCTCCCTCCTCTCCCTTTTTTCCCCTGTGAACTTTGAAACATTTTTAGCACCACGTGGCCTGCAATGGCTGCATCTCAGCTGCTGTCGATGCCCACAAACCCCACACCCGTGCCTATGGGTCCGGCGATGGACCTTTGAAAGGGTGTTAGGAGAAGGGTGGGCAGGAGGAAGGTAGACTTAATCACTTCTTCTCTCTCTCTTTTTTTTTTTTTTCTGAAAGCAGCACAGAATATACCTTTAAAAAAAAAACCTTGGATTTTAGTGTCAATATCAGAATTAATTTCGTACCCATGGATCCAGTGGGCTTTAGCCACCATTCAGTCCTTGATCTACACTAGAGGCAGAGCTGCATCTAAAAAGGTTCAAGAGTCATAGGTTCAAATCTTGACTCTGCTACCTCCTAGACGACTCACTTCCCTCTCCAAACCTCAGTTTTGTCATCTGTCAAATGGGTATGATGGACAATACCCATCACAGGGCTGTGTGGCAAGCATATGACTAAAGCACAGAAGGAACCTAGTACAGGATTTTACAGAGTAAAGAGTTAATAAAGACTAGTTTGGAAAGTCTTTTTGACCTCAGTTTCCTCATCTGTAAAATGGGACTTCTATTATCTACCTCTAAGGATTAAATGAGATAAACTGGTACAGCATAGCCTGGATCAGGATCTAGAAGTCCAGCCCCCAAGCCAATGCCAATGTCTCTTGTCTTCAGTTTGCTGTAATTGACTGACATCCGATATGCTATTATAGGAATATATACCCCCAGTATCAGGAAGGGATCTTCAATGGTTGGAGAATTCCTTTACTTTCCCGTAACCACAACCAGATCTTGAGCTCTGCTACCTTTTTTTTTTTAGATGCCACATCTCTCTCTGTTGCCCAGGATGGAGTATAGTGGCACGATCTCAGCTCACTGCAACCTCCACCACCTTGGTTCAACTGATTCTCCTGCCTCAGCTTCCAGAGTAGCTGGGATTACAGGCACCCGCCACCACACCAAGCTAGTTTTGTATTTTTAGTAGAGATGGGGTTTTGCCACGTTGGCCAGGCTGGTCTTGAACTCCTGAATTCAAGTGATCCACCTGCCTCAGCCTCCCAGAGTGCTAGGATTACAGGTGTGAGCCACTGCGCTTGGCCTGGCCTTGAGCTTTGCTTCTTTATACAGGAAGAGAATCTGTGAAGACCAGATTACCTAGGACTGGAGAACCAGGTGGCCCCTGGTTCCTTTAGGAGTCTAGCTGGGTAGTTCCGGTAACCCAGAGGTAGACAGTTGCTTGGCGTGTGCATTTGTGGGTTTTGACTGACAACAGGTGGAGAGCTCTGGCCAGTGCAGTTCTGGATGGGAAGGGGCCTTGCTAGATCCAGGCTGCCTCACCAACCTAGGTGGGAGCCCTCTAGGCACATTGTGTGGTGGCTTAGCCTGGTTTTGAATCTTTCCCTTACTAGCTATGTTTCCTGTTAGCCTCACTGGCCTGCAGTTGCCTCCTTCATAAGATAGGGAAAGAATAGTTTCCATCTCACAAAGTTGCTGTGAATTTGAATAGGTTGGACCATATAGAGTTCCTGGAATAGAGTGTACTTCACATGACCCCAGTGTCCTCAAGTCTATCAGCTTAAAGTATGAGATCTAAAAGAAAGAACAAGATGCCCTTTCACTACCTCCAACTTAGAAAATCCCAGAGAAGGCCTCTGATTTGCCTGCCCCGGTCATGTGACCATCCTTTAACCTGATCACACATCCAAAGGGCTGTCTGTGGTTACACAACAAGGGTTTTTATCTTAAGATAGGGAAGGTGGACACATTTTCTGAAAAGAGAAAAATGGTAGTCATTAAAGATCATTTCAATGGCTCCGTGATTTTGGATACAATTTGCAAACATCTGAGTTCAGTTCGAAGTCTGTAAAATGATCACAGAGATGTCTACACTATATTGAGTTATTCTGAAGATAAAGCCAAAGAAACCATGGATCACATTGCCCGGCACATTTTAGTTCAGCTCAGTAGATGTTTGCTGAATCCAAATGTTGTCATTTTGGTAAGTTTGTGTTATTGTTACTGGTCCCAGGAGATCTTTAATAATTAGTAATTATGTAGAAATAAGGAATTATTTACTCAATTATCTTTTTATAGATGTTCAAAGACAAATATACACACATGTACATACACATACATATATATATGTATATAAGAGATAAATCGATAAATCTATATGTGCCCTAGAGGTGCTTAAGATTAATTTTTCTTTCATATTATTGGTCTGAAAAAAAATCAAATGGGGCAGGGGTAAAGCTGATGAACATTATATCAAACTTACATGGGTCCCAGATCCTCCCTTTTTAACCAAAATTTTATTGTAAAAGTATTAAAACAGAAAACTTGGAAGAAGTTTATAGCAAATATATGTATACCCTCCACATAGATCCCACCATTGGTTAGCATTTATATACTTTATTTGCAATGTCTGCCCATCCCTCAATACATCTATCGATCCATCTTAATTTTTGATACATTTCAAGCAAGCATTTCAACAATGCAATGCCAATATTTATCTATAGCTTTTTATGTAAAAAGCATATACATGTATTGAAATGCATACATCTTAAAGATACGTACATTGAATTTTGTCAAATGCAAACATCTGTGTAGCCCAAACCCGTCAATCCTCCAGAAAGTTTCCTTACACTCTTCCCCAGTCAATCCTTGTTCTCACACCCAGAGTTCAGCACTGTGCTTTTTTTTCCCCCCACCTCTGATTAGTTGTTTGTTCTAGAACTTCATGTAAGTGGAATCATACAATTTGTACTTTTTTGTTTCTAGCTTATTTCATTCAATATAAAGTTTTGGAGACTGGTATTTGTTTTTGCATGTAGCAGTACTTTGTCATTTTCACTATTGTATGGGATTCCAATTTATGAATATACCACAATTGATTTATTTATTCTCTTGTTTATGGTCATTGGGTTATTTCCAGTTTGAGGCCACTATAAATAAAGCTTCTATAAACATTTGGATACGAATCTTTTTGTGAACATTTATTTTTATGTTCTTGGTAAATACTTAAGCATTGAATTGCTGGGTCAGAAGGTAGGACGATGTTAAGTGTTATAAGAAACCACATAAGATCTTTCTCCAAAATTCTGGTATCATTTTACATTCCTGCCAACAATGTATGAGAGTTCCAGTTGCTCCACATCCTTGTCAACATTTGGCGTTGTCAGTCTTTTTCATCTTATTCATTCTTGTGGGTGTGTAGTAGTCTCACTGTGTTTGTAGACCTCTTTAAAAAAATCAGTGCCAAATTCTCATCCACTTCATAAAATGCCTGAACTGGAAGGACTTTAACTTTTAGATGAGGAAACTGAGGTCTGGAGAGGAAAAGAGACTGACCACCATTTCACAGTATTTTAAAGATAAAGCCAGATTAATAACCCAGGCTCCTGCAGCTGACCTAGGACTCACAATAAGAATGTGTCATTAAATTGAGCACCTATATGTGCCAAGCATTGAAGTAAACTGTCTCCTCTTCACTATTTAAGTCATTCATTCATTCATTCAACAGATACTCACTAAGCTTCCCCCTGGTCCAGTAACATTTTAACATTACAGATACAGAAAGAAATAATAAAACCTCCTAGTTTACAAAGAACTCACTCTACTGAATGAGAATCTTCCATCCTTGATCCAAGTCATATTTTTTTCCACTTTAGATACGGCAAGAGCCACAGGCATTAGTGCATTAAGGGTGCTTTCATGAGTGTAAAGGAAGCTGCTACAGCACTTTGAGAATCTTTTTGTTTGTCTATTTGTTTGTTTGTTTTAATGGAGACTTGCTCTGTCACCCAGGCTGGAGTGCAGTGGCACGACCTCAGCTTGCTGCAACCTCCACCTCCCAGGTTCAAGCTATTCTCCTGCCTCAGCCTCCCAAGTAGCTGGGATTACAGGTGCCTGCCATCATACCTGGCTAATTTTTGTATTTTTAGTGAAGATGGGGTTTCCTCATGTTGGCCAGGCTGGTCTCGACCTCCTGACCTCAGATGATCCACCTGCCTTGGCCTCCCAAAGTGCTGGGATTACAGGCGAGATTGATTACGATAGCAAAGATGGGGGGTGCTAACTCCAGAAGATATCTGTATTTTTGCTCTTTCCCTTCATTTTGTTTCCAAACTTTGGTCATCATGCACCACATATTCCCCTGAAAGAGGTGAGTGTCCCTAGAGGAAGGCTAGAAGTCCAAGAGCCCTGGTGGGAAGAAAAAGCTTTGTAGAGGGGAAGGATCTTTTCTCAACACTAATCGTTCAGGGAAGACCACCGGGGTCCCATGAGAACTGCTTGGTTATTTCTAAAATCAACTGGAAGTGGATTTCCAGGCCAAGACAGAGAAGAGGCCTTAGATATTACATCATCCAGAAGTTTCTGCAGACAGACCATGGCTTGGATTAGCTATCTAAATTTCACCCTCCATATGGAGATAGGTGGGGGAAACATTAATATGCAAATTCCTGGGTCTTACCTATAAGGATTCCAGTTCTATAGATCTGAGAGAGAAACCCAGAAATCTTTCCTTTAAAAAGGTTCCATGGGAGTTGGAGGGCTTTTAGGGTAGTGAAATTATTCTGTACATTATTATAATGGTGGATACATGTCATCATACATTTGTCAAAAACCATGGGCTGTACAGTACCAAGAGCGAACCCGAATGTAGACTATGAACTTTGGTTGATAATGATGTATCAATGTTAGTTCATCTATTGTAATGTTGATGGTCGGGGAGGCTATGTTGGTGGGTGAGGGATAGGTGGGAACTCATGTACTTTCTTCTCAATGTTGCTGTGAATTTAAAACTGTTCTAAAAAATAGTCCATTAGAAAAATAGAAGCTCTATGGATTTATACAACCATCAATAACTATAACACATTTCCCTGCCCAAAACCGTTCCGTGGTTTCTCAGTGTCCTCAAAACAAAGCCATGCTCCTTAGCCTGGTCTCCAGGGCCCTGTGAGGTCTGACTCTGCCCTTCTCCCCATCACTCCTTACTCAGTACTTTTGAACATCTCTTAGTGCTGGGATAAACTCATTCTCATTCCAGAGTCTTTGCTCAGGTGTTCTTTAGAGGCATTTTTTCCCTCACTTCAGCATCCCCGTTTGCCAAAAATATTCGTATATGTTCATCAGGCCTTGGCTTAGGTGTCACCTCTTCCAGGTATCCTTCCCTGATTGTCCCTGACTGAATCAGGTGCTTTTTCTTGGGCTTCCACAGCACACACACCCCACCCACTTTGCTTCCCCCAATTTGGCACTAATCACCCTCATGTATAACCATATTCACTTCTCTCTCCCCTGAAACGCTATCAGCCCAGTGAGGTTCAATAATTTCTTTTCTATTAAATCCTGAGTGTAAGCACAGGGCCTAGCACATAGCGGGTGGTCAAAAAATGTGGATTGAATGGATGACTGAACCCAGTGGCTTCCACACCCTTTCAATCCCTCCCCTCTTAAATCCTGTTTCTCTGCACACAAAAGTCTTGATGGTGGCTGAGGCATCCTGGCAGATAGCCTGCTTCATTCTCACGGCCATCCACTTCAGACCTATTTCTCCATTAGGTGAACAAGATCCCACAGGTCCCTAATTAGCACTGTGGACTTCTGGAAGCTGCAACATCTCAAGAATGGTGCAGTGGAGTCTGTTCCTGGGGCATCCTGCCATGCCCCCTGTTAGATAGAAGGAGAAGGGTTATGCAGCCCATTTCAGCAGCTCCTCACTGTGCTGTCAAAGCAAGGCTCCCAAGTGAGCAGGCACAGGTGGTAGAATGAAGAGTGAAGAGGAGCAGGAACAGATATGAGCTAAAAGCCTGTCCTGCCCCTTGTTCCATATTCCAGGTGCTCTCCAAGTCCTTGGCGAGCTGTTTAGGTAGCAGGTTCTATAATGGCTTTGAAAGTAACAAGTGAGTACAGGCCATTTACTGGGGAAACTACGCCCCAGGTCCTCTATTTGGAAAAGTACCTTCTGATCGGGCCACAATCTCTGCAGAAAGACTTACCTTTGGGAAGCTCTTTTACTTCCACTCCCTCATTACAGCCTTTCTATGACTCTGCAAGTGGTACAGAAAGTAAGGCTCAGAAACTAGAATGGGTTTCCCTGATGCCACCCAATGTATCAGTCCAGGCTCCATACAGGAAACAAAATACAGTCTAGGTATCTTAAGCAGGAAGGAATTTAATACACGGAATCCAGGGCATATAAGACCACTGCAATGGAAGAAGGAGCAAGTTCTAGGTTAAGTCTCCTAGAATAACTCCCAGAATATACAGAGCAGAGGCATGTGGACAGCTACTGCCAGAATTATGCCAGATGCAAGACGCTGTTGCATTTCTAACACCACTGCCTCTTGATGTCTAGGATGTGGGAGAATGAAGTGAGGTCCCTGTTGCAGGAAAATCTCCAGTTACTACCACCACACTATTTGCCAATAGCAATAGCCACAAACTGCCAGAGAATGGAGTCACATTAGCTTCCTAAATCTCACATCAATACCTCTCATTGACAGGAACAAATCTGCATCCAGAACCCTAGCTTTCAGAGAGTCTAGAAATATCCTGCTTAGGCTGGGTGCGGTGGCTCACGCCTGTAATCCCAGCATGCTGGGGGGGCCGATGTGAGCGGATCACGTGAGGTCAGGAGTTCGCGACCAGCCTGACCAACATGGTGAAATCCCGCCTCTACTTTAAAAAAAATACAAAAATTAGCCAGGCATAATTCAAGCTACTTGGGAGGCTGAGGCTGGAGAATTGCCTGAACCTGAGAGGCGGAGGTTTCCGTGAGCCAAGATCACGCCATGGCACTCCAGCCTGGGTGACAGAGAGAGACTCCAACTCAAAAAAAGAAGAAAAAGAAAAAGAAAGAAAAAGAAATATCCTGCTTAGCTTTGTAGCCTCTCCAGGCCAAAGAAGGTAGAATGGAAGTTCAGGGAAGCCACGCAGAGAACCCAGCACTTAGGAAACCCCAGGCTGAATTCCAGCTTTGCCACTTTCTAATTGTGTGGTTTTGGGCAAGTGACAAAAATATGCTTTGCTTTCTTGTCACTATGACATGACAATGCCAGCAGCCATCTCCTAGCAGGGCTGAAAGGGTTAAATAAGATGATGCTTGCCCAATGCTCAGTGGAGAGCCTGGAATACCGTAAGTCCTCAACAAATGGTAGGTGGGTGAGACCATTATTATTATCACAGTTTTAGAAAAGGCTAGCTCCTCTCATCTCCTTACCAACACCACCATCACCAAAAAAAAAAAAAAAAAAAAAAATTAGGTTACACAGTCACACAAAGTATTTTCATACTGCTTCTGAGAACGAGAATCCTTGTAGAAATATAATTTAGACACAGAATTCTTGAATTACCAGGGCTTTTCTGTAGCTTTTGGGGGACAATGGGAAAGAATACTGGAAGCTAAATTTATTGTGGGGAAAGCTTAGTATATGGTTAATCCCCCTCTGTGGAGCAGCTCCGAGAAGGGAGGAGAAAGAAAAAGAGGTTCTTGGTATTAATTCTCTCAGAAGCAAACGAATGCCTCACTTTGCTTGGGACCACAGAGCATGGGAGGAAAATAGTGGAATATCTTCATCTCCATCCAGTGTTTTGAGAGGATGGAAGAGAGTTATTAATCTGTTCCTAGAAGGGCAGCTGAGTCCGCAAAAAGAGGTGAGAAATCACAATCAGGCAGCCCTGTGTGTCCCTGCCCCCACCAGGATGCATGACGTTGGGCAGGTCGTGTTCTTCCTAGAACCTCTTCTTCCTCATCTGCAAAGTGGAGGTGATCTCTTCTCCCCGCTGGATGGCTACGAGGACACAAAGTCAGGCCATACACTGAGTGTTCTGTTTTCCTGCCGCTGCCCATGGGCCTGCCAAAAATCACTGGGGTTTATGAGCTCAAGCCAACGGAGAATGTATGTGATGGGGTGTCAATTCCAGGACAAACGTCTGATCTGGGTCTCTGTACCGCACGGAAGCTGGAGCCTGCACCTGTAGCAGCCCACATTTCTTTTTTTCCATCAGGGCAGCGATGCAGGGACACTGAAGAGACTTGCCAGACGGAAGGGGCGGTAAGGGGACCGTTTCCTATCGCGGTTTCCAAGTGTCAGGTATCAAGGTAGCTATTTGCAGGTAACAAGCATCCTCAGACAGTGATGGAAGAGAAGAGCCACTCATGGATGGTGGTGTGTCTGAGTCGGAGGATGCCTCCCTATCCCTGCCACGCTTTGCATAAGTTGCTATGGGTGCCCCTCCCACGAAAGTGGCCAAAGTGATTAAGGGGCCATGATTGGCATCCTGGGGCCCTTTGCAGCAGGCACGACCACTCGACGCCCATTTGAGCGCCTGAGGATGGTGGTCCGGAAGGACCCACCGGCACGGCGGGAAGGCTCGATTAGCCCACCTGGCAGCCGGACCCAGACCTGGCTGGCAGCAGCATATTGCTCACCGTCTGGCAAATAGACAGATTTTCACAAACCAGATTCCTCTTCACAGGCCTGGGCCCTTCCTGTCCAACTGTTCCGGCATCTGTTTCTCTTAAAATGTATTTATTACACCGAGAGGAATAATAATGGGGCCAGGTCTGAGGCCCCGGAGGCAGCAGCGGTTTCTCCACCCAGGGCTTCCTTGGGAAGCATTCGTGTCAGGGAAAATGGAACAATGCTTAACCTGGGAAGAGTGTGCCCTTGGTCACTGGAGTCGGAGAGGGACTGGACATTGACCCAGGGTCTAAGACTGAAGGAGATATACTGGGGAAGGTGGTTGGGGGCTTGACCTGGAGTCTACCTGTGGGCTGTGTGGCTTTGGGCAACTTCCTGAACCTCTCGGAGCCTCAGTTTCCTTCTCTATGAAATGAGGGTTTGGCTGCATGACCTCCAAGGTCAGTTGTTTCTTGCTTTGCCTGCAAGTGATTTGAAAAGTTTATGCCTGTAGAATTCAGCCTTACCTGCACACCCAAGATTAGGCATTCATTCATTCATTCATTCATTGCTTCATTCCTCAGATTGTTCAATGAGTAAATTACTGTCTACAGGACATTGGGGATGCAAATGATGATTTAAGGAAAGAAGGGAGCAAGGCCGCTGGAAGCATGTTTCCCACCACTCAGATAATGTGAATATGTGTACCAACACCAATAGCAGCTGGTGTCCATGGGCCTGGTTTACCATGTGTCAGGTATGGTGTTAAAGCACCTTATAAACATCACCTCCTTTAATATTCCCAACAGCCCTGCAAGATATACATATAAGGTGTATATATATATACACCTTTGTCTCTATAGGTGATACTGGGGGAAATGGAAGCCAAGCCCAGAGAGGCAAAGCAACTTATCCAAAGTCACACAGCAAATACGCTGACAGGAAATACCCTGGATGAGGATTTCACTGGTTGACTGACCATCTTGGGTTCCTATTTCAATGGCTTTGCAGCTTTTGAAGATGTGTTGCTGCCCGGATCCTATCTGATTTCTACAGTAGCCTTCTGGGGTTGCTGGAGAGGACGGTGAATCCCACCTGACTGGTGAGGAAGTTGAGGTCTAGGGATGGAAAGTGATTTCCTCGAGGTTACAAAGCAAGTCAGCAGCAGCACGATCTGGAAATACACAACTGTAAACCTTAACCTCCCACTGTTCGTTCATTCATCCCCTCACATAACAGGTACCCTGTGTAGTTGATTCAAATGTGCTCGTTTAGCTTTTACTATTTCTGAAATCAAGTTTCATCATACAATGCATGACATGCTATGTTTTAACTGGTAGATTTTTTTTCTTAGGGAAACATAAAATAACGGTGCGGTTGTAAGCAAAGGCCTATTTGATGGTATTTACTGAGCACCTATTATATGCCAGTGTTGGACATGGCTCCTGCTGCTCTCCTCATCCATGGAGCAGGCCATGGGAAAGCTGAGATTCTTGGGAAGTCCTAGGAAGATGGATTTTAGGTGTCAGGGTTTGGTTCCCTTCACCATGTTCATTGGCCAGCTCTGTTCAAGGAAAGGGGGTTGCAGACAGATTCCACTTTGGTGGTGGCGGTTGGGGGTGGTAGTGACCATCGACCATCACCAGCCTCTCAGGAGCTCTCATTGAGGAGCCTGAGAGCTGAGCCTCTGTTCAGTCTGTGCAGGTGCCCCGCTGTCCATCTCCACTCAGACAAACACCTTTCCCAAGTTCCCTGGGCCCAGGGAGACTGCGCTGGGCCCCAGGCAGTCCTCAATGGGACTGTAGTGATGATGATTCTAGTACTGTTGCTCTGAGCTTCTGGAACATTTAGGGTAGAATGATTTTGTCGGCTCAGCCACTGCTGATTCCCAAGAGACAGGAGGAGCCAGAGCAGGGGGTGCAAGCAGCTGCAGTCAAAACACAGTGATGGGTTAGTTTGCTCTGAGGAGGGGGAGGTGGGGGCATTGTGCTGGGACAGAGCAGCCAGTGCTGGGAGCTGATTGCCTGGCAGGGCTGGGCTTTGCTAAGAAGATGAACGTGCCTGCTCTGCGAAGGTCTGCAGGGCTGGCAAAGAAAATTGAGTCATAGCATCAAGATCTCCAGACATTTGGAGCAGGTACGGGTAATTTACCCCTTTGTGGCACGTCTGTTCCTTAGACAGAGGAGAAGGGCAGCATCTTGGGAAAGAGGGCAGCCCAGGAAGAGATGTGGAGGTCTCCATACACGGACGCATCCCTTGG